ACTCAATTGATAGAAAAATGAAATTCTAAAGAAATAGCTATGAGTTTGGTCGATTGGAACAATGGAATGGGAGAATGGGTCTGTGTGGTCAGTGTGCACCATATAAAAAAAATCCTGCAGCACGCAGTGCATAATGAGAAAAAAAAAAACTCCAAGCGTTTTTTTTTTTAATTAAAATGCTGACTTTGTGGGCTATTTTCATATAATATTTATGGTTGTATTCTCGTTTTCTTGGTCTCATTTTTTATTTATTTTTATTATTTATTTATTTAGAAATTTAAGCATACATACAGAGGTACAAAAAAAATACAGGTAAGAGCAGCATGCCAAAGCCACTTATATGCATAGCATTACGGGCTGGCTTAAAATTAACTTAAGATTAACTAAGCAATGATGAAATCAGTGATAAGACATTATTGTAAACAGATAACTATAAAGCACAAATGAGTATTACAAAGACAGCTCATATGGTTGCATGCATTGCTGTTCATTCAGTAGAATGGAGTATTCTGTTAGGTAGTGTATTCAAAAAAATAACAAAGTTAGATTGGGTCCTAGGTTTAACATTTATGTGATATAATTGTGAGTAACATTTTGGATATACAATTTATAAGGTTCAGTTATTCAGTATTTATTTGGTTTTGAGTGAGTAAGTGAACTTTGAGAAGAGACTTGAATTTGTAAACAGGTAGTGTTTCTTTTATATTTACAGGTAATGAATTCCAGATTTTAGGGCCTTTTATGTGCATTGAATTTTTGCATAGCGTGAGATGGACACGAGGAACATCAAAGAGTGATCTGTGCCTTGTGTTATGGTCATGTGTTCTGTTGAGGTTGGCAAGGAGATGTTTGGGGGGAGGGTTAATACCAGAGTTAAGTGTTCTATGTATGTAATAGGTGCAATAATAAGTATGGATGTTTTGTATGGTGAGTAGGTTGAGTGTTTTGAATATTGGTGGAGTGTGTTGCCTGTAGTGAGAATTTGTTATCATTCTAACTGCAGCCTTTTGTTGGGTAATTAGTGGTCTGAGATGGTTAATTGTTGTTGAGCCCCATGCATAAATTCCATAGGTGAGATAGGGGTAAATAAGAGAGTGATAAAGGGCCAGGAGGGCTGACTGTGGAACATAGTACTGTATCTTCGATAGTATGCCTACAGTCTTGGAAATTTTCTTAGAAATTTGTTGTACATGTGTATGAAATTTGAGTCTATTATCGAGGTGGATTCCTAAGAATTTTCCCTCTGTTAGCTTTGTGATAGGTGATACATTTATCGTTATGTTAAGAGGTACATCTGTAGCTCTGTTACCAAACTGAATGAAGTAGGTTTTGTCAATGTTTAGTGTAAGTTTGTTAGTCCTCATCCAGGTAGATATTTTCTGTAATTCGGTGTTTACAGTATTGGCTAGCGTGACTGGGCTCGGGTGAGAGAAGACGTATGTAGTGTCATCTGCAAAAAGTGTGGGTTTGAGTAATTGCGAAGCATTTGGTAGGTCGTTTATGTATTTATGTATTTGACAGAATGGAAAACATACTATAGAAATAGAGGTGATTTTGATTGGTTTTACTATGAAAAGAACCTTGAAATGGAGCTCAAAGTAGGGGAAATGTTTGATTTTTCCCGATGTTCAAAAGTAAACAAATGATGTCATTCTCCAATAAATGTCCAAGTAGCCATTCTAATAGGCATAAGGGAGGATTCGACCAGATGACGACTGTTAAAGTTGGATGCAGGGAAGACAGTTTTAGCAGAAGACCAGTCAATAGGATGGGTGTGGCCTCATGACTCTAGTTCCTCCAACCTTTTCTTGAAGCTCCTAATAATCTTGCCCCTTCCATTAAGTTTGAAGCTGAATAGGAATCTAATTCCTTCCTTCCTTTCCTTGATGTACATGTCCACTGCTCAGATACAGGTTCTTCCTTATTCGTTTACTGCAACCCTATGCACAGTGGCATGTGCATTCACTACTTTTCCTATCATGCTTCCCCTGTCAAGAGAAGTGTTCTTATCTCCCTCTTTCTCCGTGCCCTCTGCATCTGTGATCCTTAGTTCCTTCCAGCAGAAATTTCCACTCTTCATAATTCATTTTCCCATCTTGGCTACCCTTCCCATTTCATAGACTCTGCCCTCTCACGTGCTAAACATAATTTCTTCTCTCCCAAACTCTCTACTCCTGGGAACTCTTCTGTCCTCTGCCTTCCCTACATTTCCGGTTTTTCTAATCTCAACAACTCTCTCCATTCCTTAGACATCAAGCTTACTTTCCGCCAGACTAACACTCTTCGCACTAAACTCGTTCATACCTTTCCTCCCTCTACAGATGCTCCTGGTGTCTACTCTATTTCTTGCTCCTCCTGTCTTCTTCAATACTTTGGAGAAACTGGCCGATCTCTTTCTGACAGACTTAGGGAGCACAAAAATAGTGTTAGGCTTGCCGACACTAACAATGCTCTTTTCTGTCACGTCAGAGATCACAGCCATCCTATTGACTGGTCTTCTGCTAAAACTGTCTTCCCTACTTCCAACTTTAACAGTCGTCATCTGGTCGAATCCTCCCTTATGCATAACTTTCCTTGTATGAATCTTAGTCCCGGCTTTGTCTCTGCAGATGCCTTCCTCTCCCACTACATTGTAAAATGCTCCAGAACTTCAGAACACCCATGACTTAGCCTGATTCCTTCTATTTCTTCTTCTCCCTCTTCCCCTTTCCTCTTTCCTTTTTCTCTTCTGGGTTGTCTTTCTTTCCTCTGCCTTATTTCTGTACCTTCATCATTTATTTTATTATTTACGCTCCCCCATCTCTGTGTTCTTGCTCTCGCCCAGTGGGGACCTAGCTCCTTTGCAGTGCTCCCTTCTCTTAGTCTTTGACTGGCTCCTCCTCCTTTCTTCCCCACTACTACTTCCTTCCACCTCCGATGCTGCTGCTGCCTCTTCTTCTTCTTCTTCTTCTTCATCATCATCATCTTTGTCTTCGTCTTCATCTTGCCTATATATACCCGTCCTGCTGTACTTCTCGTTAGTGTGACTTTGTAAATGGTCCAAGTCCGACCGAACTGTCGTCGTCAGCTCCTCTTTTTTATGTGTGGGTTATTTGAGTAAATCTTCTATTTTTTGTTTGAAAAAAAATTCAAAATAGAAAGCAAGAGTAATATCAGAAGGGCCTGGAGACATGACTGATGAACAAAGAAAATGTTATTTTAGAACCAGGAATGTCTGCATTGTTCATTCTGGACCTTATTTTGAAATTGTAATATTTTTTAATTTTTGTGAAATTGGCCAAATTGCAAATTTCTGACCATGTTATTGGGTAGTTGAAATCGGTAAATGGGCAGTTTCTTGTACTCACTTGATAGAAAAAATGGAGTTCTAAAGAAATAGCTATGAGTTTGGTCAACTGGAACAATGGAATTAGCTGAAAATAGGGCTCAAAGTGGGCGAAATCGCCAATTCATGAATATCGCCACGGTCACTAACTTTGCAAGAGCGTAATTCCCTCAGTTTTTCATCAAATTTCGTTCTTTTGGTGTCATTACAATCAGGAAAAGATTATCATTTCATAAGTTTTTTTTTTTTTTTTTCAGAAATTTTGCAATACCAGGGAGACACCTCAGGATTTGGGGTTGCAACAGTCAAGGGGTTAAATACATTCATTTCTTAGGTTTTATCAACTTATTAATCTCACATCAAAACTTTTTCTTATTTTCAGCAAAATTTGTTGACAGAACCTCACCCATTCTCTCATTTGCATTCCTTTTACACTCTTTCACTCGCAAGGGGGAGGACCAAAAACACAGGGAGGGAAAACTGAAGGACAGAACACACTTAGGCAGAAGAAAAGAAAGCAAAGAAATTGGAAAAAATAGGAAAGGAGAAAAGGCAGGGAGAGGAGAAGAAAGGATCAGGTCAAGTCATGAGTGTTCTAAAGTTTGGAGCATTTGACAGTGTAATGAAAAAGGAAGACATCTTTAGAGACAAAACCAGGACTAAGATTCATTTTAGGAAAGTTGTGTATAAGGAATGCTTTAACAAGATGGCGTCCGTGAAGGCTAGAAGTAGGGTAGACAATTTTAGTAGAGGACCAGTCGGTAAGATGACTATGATCTCTAACATGTTTTAATAATAAAGATGTCCATCTGTTGCAGATGCATTTTGCTCATCTTATTTGCATAATATTGATGCCCCTCATTACTCTTAAACATGACATATCCACTGAGTAACAAAAAGGATTCAGAAAAAAAAATTTTTTTTTCTTTCCTTTTGTGATCTTATTAATGACAGTGACAACAATATAATGCATTATAGCAACCCTATTTTACTTCAGTGTGATGTCCCAAATAAGTAATCACTCGAGTAAGGGCTCAAAAATATGGCATTATGTTTTTCTCACTGCTTCTCAGGTTTTTGCTATCTCATGATGTCATTACCAACTGTTACTACATTTTGTATTGTGTTTGCAAATCCCTTTGATAATTAAATGGAAGGGAGATAAATTAATGACAGTGTGGGTTATTCCTCAACCCTCACACTCTTGCAATACTTCACAAATATCTCCACTCCCTCAGAAAAATGTGTTAATTGAAACCAGTGAAAGACTCTTAAAGTACATAATTGAAAGTCCCCATACTGTCCTCAGATCAAACCTGATTTCCTCCAATTTCCAGTGCTTCTCAGTGATTATAATAACAGAACAATACTCCACCACACATCAGAGTTGTCTTTACAACTCTTTGTTGTGAGAGGACAGTAAAGTAGTTTCTTTGAGTGAGGATGTATCGGCATGCTATGACTGACACTTTACTTCTACCTACCCTTTCCCCACCGAACCTTATGGATAACAACTAGCCTCAATATCAGAGATGAAATCATATGCTTTGATCTATCCTTGATTATTAAGAAGTTGTGAGCGACTAATAGTCTAGGATGTGGGTTATTTATGAATTGTTTCAGCCAGGATATTGGGTGTAAAATTCTTTAATGTGTTTACTCTTTGTCATTACAGATCTGCTATACCAGCTTTTGTGATACTTTACGTCTCCTAGGGTGTTTCATGACAGAAACTCATATTCAGGAGCCTACTGAGGAAGTACTAGATCTCTTACTTAGTTCTAGCACCACTGAAGAGGCAGATCTAGACACACCATGCCCTTCAGCAGTTGGAGTGGACTTGAACACTTATCATCTCATATTTACCACACCAATTTTGGAATATATGTGAGTATGCCTGTTGTTTATAGGTATAATTTGTAATTACTTACTTGTAACTGTATATTTGTAGTTATAGGAGCAGAGCTATACATGTGGTGTTCTGTCTTTATTGATAATTTTATCAACTTATTGTGTAAAGTTTTTAGAACCTGAATATACAGCCTTTTCATGCATCTTCCAGCAGTTTTCCATTATTTGTAAGGAAGTGTTTTATAGCATTCTTCTGTTTTTATTTTTCTCACTTCACAATTGTAGCCTCATGTTCTTCCTGTTGATTGTACATAAGAACTTACATACAGTGGAACCTTGGATTTCGTCTGCACCGGATATCATACGATTTGGATTTTGACCACTTTTTTCAGCGAAATTTTGCTCTTGATTTCATACCTCGTCCCGGAAATCATCTGTATCAGATGCATCTGCCCGCCCAGGATGTTGCCACTCTTGCGTATGTGTCTCAGTCTGGCTCTGTCACTGGTTGAGGGAGGATTCATCTGAAACATTTCGTAATAATCCATTGTTTTTTGTGCTTGTTTATTGAGTGCGACTACGAGGTAAGCCACCATGGGCCCAAAGAAAGTAAAGAGGGTGAGAAACATGATAGAATTCAAGAGATAATACCTTGTCCCATTTTAGGCAAATCTTAGAGAAACCAGAAACAAAGTGCTCTGGACAGATTTTTAGTGCAACAGAGGTCCAGTGCCAGTAAAAGACAAAGAACGGAAGTACAGTGGACCCTCAGTTGACGCCTGCATCGGATAGCTCCAAACTCGGATAATGCTTTGTTTTGGCGTAAAAAAATTGGCTCGGATAACACCTAAAAACTCGGTTAGGAGCTTTCATCCCGAATGTGTCCGCTCGGCGCCCTGAGCGGGCCTGGCCAGTCAACCCGTCTACAAGCCAGTGTGCAATTGTTTACAAGTCAATGAGGACAATTCCATGCATACATGCGATTTTTTTTCTTCCAACAAACCGGCCGTATCCCACCAAGGCAGGGTGGCCCAAAAAGGAAAACGAGAGTTTCTCTTTTTAAATTTAGTAATTTATACAAGAGAAGGGGTTACTAGCCCCTTGCCTCCGGCATTTTAGTCGCCTCTTACAACACACATGGCTTACGGAGGAAGAATTCTGTTCCACTTCCCCATGGAGATAAGAGGGAATAAACAAGAACAAGAACTAGAAAGAAAATAGCAGAAAACCCAGAAGGGTGTGTGTATATATATGCTTGTATATGTATGTGTAGTGTGACCTAAGTGTAAGTAGAAGTAGCAAAACGTACCTGAAATCTTGCATGTTTATGAAACAGAAAAAAGGACACCAGCAATCCTGCCATCATGTAAAACAATTACAGGTTTTCGTTTTACACTCATTTGGCAGGACGGTAATACCTCCCTGGGCGGTTGCTGTTTACCAACCTACTACCTTAAACATGCAATATGTTTTGTATTATTCCATTGTTTTTAGTGCTTGTAACTTCTAAATAAGCCACCTTGGGCCCCAAGAAAGCTTCTAGTGCCTACCCTGTGATAAAAAGGGTGAGGTGTACTATCAAATTGAAAAAGAAGATCATAGAAAAGTACGAAAGTGGAGTGCGTATCTCCGAGTCACAAAAGTTATACAACAAACCCCATTCAACCATCATTACTATCTTACACAACAAAAAGGCAATCGAGGAAGCTGTTGTTGCAAAAGGTGCAAGTGTGATTACAAAACAGAGATCACAAATACTCGAAGATGTGGAGGGACTGTTGTTGGTGTGGAGACGAGAAACGATTATCAGGAGAAAGTGTTTCACAGTCAGTCATGTGCGAAAATGCAAGGCAGTTGCATGAGGATCTCATTAAGAAAATGCCTCCAAATAGTGCTGCTGTTGATGAATTTAAGGCCAGCAAAGGCTGGTTTGAGAGATTTAAGAATTGTAGTGGCATACACAATGTTATAAGGCATGGTGAGGCTGCCAGTTCTGACAAAAAAGCAGCTGAAAAAAAGGTGCAGGACTTTAAGGAGTACATAGACACTGAAAACTCAAAACCCCAACAAGTGTTTAATTGTGACAAAACAGGCCTGTTTTGGAAGAAAATGCCAGACAGGACCTACATTACTCAGGAGGAAAAGGCACTCCCAGGACACAAGCCTATGAAAGACAGGCTAACTCTCATGTTGTGTAGTAATGCTAGTGGGGATTGCAGAGTGAAGCCTTTACTTGTGTATCACTCTGAAACTCCTAGAGTGTTCAGGAAAAGCAATATCGTCAAGACTAAATTGTGTGATATGGAGAACAAACAGTAGAGACATGTTTATTGGCTGGTTCTGTGACATGTTTGGCCCCACTGTGAAACAGTACCTCCTGGGAAATAAATTGGAACTCGAGTGCCTCCTGATAATGGACTATGCTCCTGCTCATCCTCACGACTTGCAAGAGCAAATTACGGGGGAGTTGAGCTTCACCAAAGTGAAGTTCTTGCCTCCTAATACCACTTCTCTCCTCCAGCCCATGGACCAGCATGTCATTTCAAATTTCAATAAACTGTACACCAAAGCAGTGTTTCAAAAGTGCTTTGAAGTGACCTCAGACACTGAATTGACCCTAAGAGAGTTCTGGAAAGATCACTTCAGTATCCTCAGTTGCATAAACCTTATAGGTAAGGCTTGGGAGGGAGTGACTTGCAGGACTTTGAACTCTGCTTGGAGAAAATTGTGACCACAGTGTGTACAAGAGAGTGATTTTGAAGGGTTTAGGGCTGAGCCTAAGGAGCTTATGCCAGTTGTGGAATCTATTGTGGCATTAGGGAAGTCCATGGGGTTGGAGGTTAGTGGCGAGGATGTGGAAGCATTAGTGGAGGATGACGATGAGGAGCTAACCTTTACAGAGCTGCAAGAGCTTCAGGTGCAACAGCAACAGGGATTTCCTTCAGAGGAGGAGGAGGAGGAAGAGAGATAGAGGATGTTGCCTTCATCCTGATACACCTACCATCTGACTTATGACCGAGTTCGGTTCCGAGAAACCGGTCGTAAGTCGAAATGGACGTAAGTCGAACTTTACTACTGAATATCAACATAACATTTTTGTAATTTTTTTTTTTATTGTTTTATTTTGGTATTTAATTTTTTACTTTATTTTTTATGCTGTTAGTACTATATTTTATACTGTAAGGTTTAGGATAAATACTGAGTACAACTCAAACACTTGTTTATTTCCCAGAAATTTGGCATAAAAAACACGGTCATAAGTCGAGTCGTCATATGTCGAGCAGGTCATAAGTCGGATGGTAGGTGTAATCGTTTCTCATCTATCCACACCAACAACAGCCCCTCCACATCTTCGAGTATTTGTGATCTCTGTTTTGTAATCACACTTGCACCATTTGCAACAACAGCTTCCTTGATTGCCTTTTTGTTGTGTAAGATAGTAGTGATGGTTGAATGGGGTTTGTTGTATAACTTTTCCAACTCGGAGATACGCACTTCACTTTCGTACTTTTCTATGATCTCCTTTTTCAATTCGATAGTACACCTCACCCCTTTTTATCACAGGGTTGGCACTAGAAGCTTTCTTGGGGCCCAAGGTGGCTTATTTAGCAGTTGCAAGCACTAAAAACAATGGATGAATATTATCCTGACACAGCTCTTGCAAGCCGTATTGGCAACTTGTACAATGACACTCTTGTGGCCCATTTTAGGGAAATCTTAAAGGGATGCAAGAAACAGAGCTCTTTGGACAGATATTTTGCACGACAGGGGTCCAGTGACTCTCAAGCTGGTCCTAGTGGCATTAAAAAACAAAGAAGGAAGGTAGCCCCAGAAAAGGACTTGTTACCTGAAGTCTTTATGGAAGGGGATTCCCCTTCCAGACAATAGAACACCTGCATCATCTGCCCTCCTACCATCTCATCACTCTTCAACAATTCCACAGTAAAGGTAAGTGTCATTTCAGTAATGTTTATTGCACATGTAACATTGTGTTCTGTGCAGGGATATGTATATTTCATGTAAAAAAAAATTATTTTGTTTAATATTTTTGGGTGTCTGGAACGGATTAATTGGATTTCCATTATTTCTTACGGGGAAAATTAATTTGGTTAAAAGCTAAATCGGTTAAAGCCTAGCTCTCTGGAACGGATTAATGGCGTTAACTGAGGGTCCACTTAATCCCGGATAGGCCTTTGATACCTGAAGTCCTTATGGAGGGGGATTCTTCTTCCAAACAACAACCTCTGTTCCTCCTCCCTCTCCCCTCCTTGCTGTCCATATCCCAACAAGAGCCTTCAGTAAAGGTAAGTGTGATGATAATTGTTCATTTATTTATTTCATTAGTCATTTATATTTCTTTATCATTGTTTTCTGTCTGTAAAACTATAGTTATTATTGAAAAAATGTATCTTTTGTTAATATTTTTGGGTGTCTGGAATGGATTAATTGTATTTACATTACAGTGGAACCTCGGCTTAGGAATTTAATCCAGTCCGTGGACTTGTTCCTATCCTGATTTGTTCGAATGCTGGGTCAATTTTCCTCATTTAAATTAACTGAAATGCAATTAATTCGTTTCAGCTGAATTCCTAATTTCAGGAGGCATGGCAAAATAACCCTAATATCAACTCTACATCTTATTTATCTGTCACAATTCATCTAGTAAACAATATAAATAACATAGAAACCCGATATACACTCTATAATAAGTATAACAACACAGCCACTTGATACTGGAGTTCCGCAGGGAAGTGTCCTTGGTCCCCTGCTCTTCCTCATATACATCAATGATCTTCCAAACATATCTCGACACCTGAACCCCATTCTCTTTGCTGACGACACGACTTGTCATCTCTCACCCTAATCTTGCAACCCTCAACACCATTGTTAATGAGGAGCTGATCAAAATATCGACTTGGATGACAGCCAATAAACTTACGCTTAACGTTGACAAAACCTACTACATTATGTTTGGTAGCAGAGCAGGAGATGCGCAAATTAACATTAAGATCGACAACACTCTAATTACCAGGCAT